TGAAATCGATCTGATAAATAGGACTTAAACCAGCTTAGAGCGGTTCCTTTAATGCCAATGAAATATTCCAGTCTCTGCAATAGGATCTGATGGTCAATGGTATCAAATGCAGCACTAAGATCTAATAAAACCAGTACAGAGACAAGTCCTTTGTCTGATGCAATAAGGAGGTCGTTAGTAATTTTCACTAGTGCTGTCTCTGTGCTATGATGAGCTCTAAATCCTGACTGAAAATCCTCAAATAAACTATTGCTCTGTAGAAAGTCACACAGCTGTTTAGCAACTGCTTTCTCCAGAACCTTAGAGAGAAATGGAAGGTTAGATATAGGTCTATAGTTGGCTAAAACATCCGGATCAAGTTTGGGCTTTTTCAGAAGAGGTTTAATTACAGCTACTTTAAAGTACTGTGGTACATAGCCTGTTGATAAAGATAGATTGATCATATCTAGTATAGAGGTGCTGACTAAGGGTAAAACATATTTAAGCAGCCTAGTCGGGATGGGGTCTAAGAGGCAGGTTGATGGTTTAGATGAAGAAATTATTGAAGTTAGTTGGTAAAGATTGAGGGAAGCAAAACAGTCTAAACATGTATCTGGTTCTACAGCTGTTTCTAAGGTTCCTGAGTTAAGAGATAAGTCGGTGCCAGTTGAGGGCAGGTCTTGGTGAATTTTGTCTCTAATAGCTAGAATTTTATCATTAAAGAAGCTCATGAAATCGTAACTACTGAGAGCTATGGGAATACTTGGCTCAATAGAGCTGTGACTCTCTGTCAGCCTGGCTACAGTGCTGAAAAGAAACTTTGGGTTGTTCCTATTTTCCTCTATTAATGACGAGTAGTACGCTGCTCTAGCATTACGGAGGGCCTTCCTATAAGTTTTAAGACTATCATGCCAAATTAAACGAGAATTTTCCACTTTGGTGGAACGCCAATTCCTCTCAAGTTTCCGCGATATTTGCTTTAATTTGCGAGTTTCAGTATTATACCATGGAGCTAACCGTCTTTGTTTTAGTATTTTCTTTTTTAGAGGGGCTACAGAGTCGAGTGTCATTCGCAGCGAGCCTGCAGCACTATCAACAAGATGATCGATTTGGGAGGGACTGAAATTAGCATAGGAGTCCTCCGTTACTTTGTGACTAGATAATGTATTTAGAGCTGATGGAATCGCATCCTTAAATTTAGCTATAGCACTATCAGACAGACATCTTGTATAGAAATTTTTGCCCAATGGCGAGTAGTTCAGCAATGCAAACTCAAAAGTTATCAAACAGTGGTCGGACAAAGAGGGATTCTGTGGGAACACCACTAAATGTTCAATTTCAATACCATACACCAAAACAAGGTCGAGGGTGTGGTTAAAACAGTGAGTCGGTTCATGAACACTCTGAGAGAAGCCAATGGAATCTAACAGAGAGATAAACGCAGTACTAAAGCTGTCATTCTCAACATCCACATGAATATTAAAATCCCCTACAATAATAACTTTGTCCATTTTAAGGACTAAAGTTGACAAAAACTCTGCAAATTCAGATAAGAATTCAGAATACGGGCCAGGTGCTCGGTACACTATAACGAAGAGAATTGGTTGCAGTGATTTCCAACTTGGGCGCGAAAGACTAAGAACAAGACTTTCAAATGAGTTATAGATTGGTTTAGGTTTAGAGCTGATTAATAGGCTAGAGTCGAAGATAGCTGCAACTCCACCTCCTCGGCCTGTGCCTCGAGGAATGTGAGTATTAATATGACTGGGAAGGGTGGATTCATTTAGGCTAGCATATTCTCAATCACCCAGCCAGGTTTCAGTAAGACAAAATAAATCAATATCATAATCTGATATTAGTTCATTTACTAGTACACCTTTAGAAGAGAGAGATCTGATGTTTAAGAGTCCACATTTAACTCTCCTATTAGTTTGCACTATTGCTCTTGTGGTTTTAATTTTTATGAGGTTTTTATGCACAGCTCCTCTTCTGTTTACCTTTTTAAATAATTTCGATGGTCGGGGGACAGACACCGTCACTATAGGATTTTCACTAAGTAACTCCTGAAATGGAGGAGCAGAGAAGTGCGTAGGGTTTTGGGTGGGTAACTGCTGAAAAAGAAGGGCAGAGAAGTGTGTTAAACTGTGACTCTGCCTCCTGGTCTCAACTCTGGGTTGTCATGGATTTGGTCCACTAATAAACTTGGCCAGATTTCTAGAAATGAGAGCTGCTCCTTCCCAAGTGGGATGGATGCCGTCTCTCCGAGTCAGACCAGGTCTTCCCCAGAAAGTCTGCCAATGATCAACAAAGCCCACATCGTTTAGTTAGTTAGTCAGTTAGTGGCACATAACTGTGACGTAATGTTAAAACAGTCCAACAGTCAGTCTCACCTTGTCAGCTGAAAGTATCTGCACCTTCAGCTCATCTTTCTTTTCATTATACTGCTTCTCAACACTTCTAGCAATGCCATAGCCTGGTCAGTGTTGTTCAGAAGCTCAAAAAATCCCTTCACTTACGTTTTTAGACTTCATGTCCTTTTACTCCATAAAACAAAGCCTCTTAGTTATCGCCTCGGCATGCACATCACTACAGCCTCTTTAACACCGATAAACTGTTCCATTTTATGCTTGCAACTGTGGGGAGCTGAATTTTCAGTTGGTACAAAATTGACGTTGTACTGGGTCTGTATTTTAAAGGGTAATGTCTGTATTTTACAGCCTATACCTTATCTATGTATACATGTTTTGTGTGTATGTGACTAATTGGGACAACATCTTTGACATTGGTCCAGTGTTCAGCAAGTGCTGCAGTCGGCAGCAGCAAGACAGGTCTGCAGACTTGCAGGCAATCGTCCCCCGTCAAAGTACGTCAACTAAAGTGCTTGTTTTTGCCACTGACAGGCTCAGATTGTAGTGTCTGATTCCTACAGATGGATCTTCGCTATAATGGCTTATGCATATATTTATAACACGATATAATGTGTCCAGAAGACCTGTTGCCGATTAACATCATGTAAGAAGAGGCTCAGATGTCACAGATGAATGGCGAGCCTATGGACAGGCCCTAACAGATGCAGTGGACAATTAAAGACAACCACTTCACAAAACGTAACCTATTAAAAGACATTTTAAAGTAATTGAATGGGAATACTGTTAGCTAGCGCTAACTGCCTTCACTTTTCCAGCAGTTGCGGAAACAACAAACTGTGACCTACACTGCACATGTTCTGCCTGACGGACAACTTACGAAGTAACTTAAATATTTTCCTCCGCTAGCTTTCACCGTCACGTTCTCCCCGTTGTGCCACTCGCTCTCTCTCTTTTGCTGGCACATACACTTGATTTGCACACACAGGACACACAGGGAGCCAAAACAGCGATGAGAGTTTCTGCACAGTGTGCTGGTGAAAATCAATAGTGTCGTAAAAGCATGGTTTTGGCTGCAGTGTAACGTTAGCAAAATTAGTAACGGAGTAATGTTAATAAGTTGCGTGTCATTACTACCTAACTTGTTGAGGAATGAGAACAGCAGGTTGAAGCTAAACTGGTGTCCTGTACACATACAGTAACTTACATCCTGATAGTTAAGTTAAATTATATTTCAGTGTCCAGAGGAGTCTGACAACTGGTTGTTAAAGGAAGGACGCTGGTGACCAGGAGGAGCTGAGGCTACTAAAGTAAATCAGGGACGTAAACTAGTCCTTTTAAGCAATTGTGGAGACATTTCTTTTGGATTTTAATGTGCAAACGAAATGCTTAGTAATTATCCAGAATTTACACCGGAAAAAAAATGCATCAAGATGGATCGCTGCCCTCTGAATTGTAATCAAATGGAATTGTATCAGGGCCTGTCCATAGGCTCGCCCTTCATCTGTGACAACATCTGAGCCTCCTCTTACATGATGTTATAAATTCGGCAACAGGTCTTCTCTTGAGCGATCTCTCACCACCCTGAGAATGAGTGTCCTTGATGTAATTATGTTGTGTAATTCATACAGATTGTTCATGAAGTGAAGAAACATAAATAAAAGTTGTTTTCCTGCGCAAAATGTGTGTCACTTTACTTAAAGCTAACAATTACGTGTTATAAGGTCTTATAATTAGTTCATATGGTATTATGTCCACCTGTAATATATTATACAGGGATAGATATTTTAACACTTTACTTAAAGCAAACAAAGACATGCTATATAACATTAAACATTACTATAAGCTATTATTCCATTTTATATCACTAATTCTAAATGGTGACTAAAGGGTATTTATAACGAGGCAGAGTCGGTGGTTATAATGTGTTATGGAACGTGGTCGGAGATTCTGGGCGCACAGTGATATAAACTGGTATTACTATTAGTTATAAAACATTAAATCAAAAGGTCATAATACGTTATGAACTTTGCTATAACGCCTAATGCATGTTTATAAGTGATCATAACAACTGTTATAATGTCTTATGGACGTATTATATCGTGTTATAAATATATACATAAGTCATTATAGCGATGACCTTCATAGAAAGTGTTACCGATCCTTTTTATTTGACCAGAAACATTTGCCAGATTGCTCTAATCAAAACCAATGGTTTATCATTGGCATTCCTAACTCATATGAAAACCCACATATCCTGGATTTCACAAAGAAAGGATAGACTCCATCTCAATGCAGTGAGAGCAAAGGGCAAAGGTGAAGAACTCAAAAGGACCAATGCAATGACACGAAAGAGAGAGCTCCAGAAAGTGTGTGTTTGTGTGCGTAGGCGTTTGCACATTTAGCCTAGTGTGAGCCCAGTGGTAATTTAGCAGTTCTCAGCAGGTTATCTTCAGGGAAGAGCTTATATGGGCAGAGGGTTGCTACGTGTGTGTCTGTTTGTGTGTGTGTGTGCTTGGCAGAGTTTCATTTCATAGTGAGAGTTCTGCTGACCTTGGCATACTCAAGTTTTCATCCCAGCGGCGTCTCATCCCCTTCTTCTCCTTCTCTTTCTCCTTTGCCTCTCACCCTTACTCCACCCAAATTCCCTTCCAGGACAGTGCTATTCTTGTGAAGAAGAGCCAAACTGAAATGATCCAGAAAAAAGGCGCCAGCATCTCTATCTTTCACCAGAAATATTCGACATAAGGCTGTGATTAAAACAGATCGCAAAGTGGTAAGGACTGCTTCACACCAATAGTAAGTCTAGATGCAATCATTAAGATGACTCTGGCTGTTTGACTTTTCCTGTCATCCTCATTTCTGCTGGCTCATACCTTTCAGGGTAAACCATGCCCGAGATCTCATTATTTCAAAACATTGCTGTCAAAAAGGCAGACATGCAGTGAATGGCAGATTGAGGTTTTCTGTACGTGTTGTTTTTCTCTTCAGGTCAAACACAGTCTTATCAAATATAATCTAAATAATTAACTATAAAAGTTAAGAATTTGAATTTTAAGTATTTATAAATGAGTACACATACTAATAGCTGCATCATTTATTATATAAATTTATAGATTTAGAAAACATTTTTTTCTAACAAAAGTTAAACATTTCACAGTGAGTGTAAATTGTTTCAACATTGAAAATGATGAAGGGGAGTTTTGAGTGCTGTTACACAGAGGCATATTTCTAGTGTATAAAGTGCTTCGGGTTGATAGCAGTGGAAGTCACCCAGTGCTGCCGTGAGTCTTCCTATGGGAAAAAAACTGGCTAAGCAATTCAATTGAAATGACAACAAGTGCCTGTTGCGTTGTTTGTAAAACACCTGACAGTCTATGTACCTGTATATACAAAGTGTGTACAAAATATCCATGAGACTCGTTTCTTTCTCTCGATATGGACACACATTTTCATCAATGTAATGTTTTAACATATAATCTTTTTGGCTAATCCAGTGAAATAGCTGACAAATCAAGGTATTTCATCCTGTAAATCCAGTATCATCTTCTAAATCTTCTGTAACATTGGTCTAATGGAAAATGGAAAGAGATATTAAAGATAATTACACAACAGGAAAATATGTAGGCCCTACTGACTGACAAAGTAAGTCATCATATCACCCAACTCCAGGCCATTTTCATTTACTAATTTCCTGTAAAAATTACTATACCAGTCACTGGGCTGATGGGTTCACTAATGATTTGGAAGCTACCAACTGTGCGGTGTGGATTGTGGTACTGAATACTAGGACTACATCTGTGATTTTTGCAAATAGAAGCTACTGTATGTTTCTGGGATCTACATACCATCCTCTTCAAAAGTATTGAATGTTATTTAAATTTTTTAAAAGGCCTTTATGGATTCCTGCAGGACATTATCTCTTAATAAATCAATAAACTCACTGAAATCTGCAAGCTTATTTTATATTGCACAATGTTAATAATGCTGTCTGTCCCTGCGTAAGCAGGAAAGCATGGATAGGAGTTATATAAAGTCTGGGATTTACATTTATGTTTTTTTTACGCATCCAGCTGATGATTATCCAATGTGACATAGAATATAAGAAGTGGATGACACAAGCTTCTTGCACGCTGACATTCCAAATATAAACATAAGTCATAATTGCGTGTCCTTACAGAAGTGTTCTCTTTTTGTGTTTCAGGCTGAATCTGTGTAGGCACCTATTGGCTCTCCTGGCAGAAACCAGACATGTTCTTTGCCTCCCTTCCTGCATGGTAAGTTAATCTTTTGTGTCTCTATTAGAATGAATAAATGTGTTCCTTGGGGCTTCATGAAAGACTTGTTATAGAGTTTGGTGTGTTGGCTATGAATATCCTTAGTGCTATGAACAGACGCAGGTCAAAGAGTATCAGACACTACCTGCTTAAAAGAAAAGCTATTCTGGAAAGAATGCCTTTCATTTAAGGAAATGGATGTGGAAACCTAGATAACAGTCAAATATGATAAGATGACTCTTGTCTTCCTCTTCTTGTTTATCTAAATGTTTTGTAAGCACTTTGGATACTACAGGAACTGTGACATGATTGAAAGAGCTCCTGGCATCCTTGCAGTATGTCAGATTCCCTCGTGAAGATGCTAGTTATATACAAACTCACCCGCAGGTGCATTGATAGCGGATGAAACTGTGGGTGGCTTTTCAAAATAGGACAGAAGAACACACTGTTCTATTCACATAAAGCTTTTTTGAATCTGGTGACAGTCAGAGCAGATTTAAAAATAACATTGCTTTTGACTTCTCTTCATCAAGTCATCATTATGAAACGATGTGATAAAGAACTAATGAGTTTTAGCATCGAGGCTCTGATGCGCTACTCTACACCCCTCTTGAAGGTTTTCAGTCTAGTATTTAGGGCAGCCATACACTATTTTCCATTTAGTTTTTTTGTCATTCTGCGGCATCAAAAATATGGTTGCAGAAGTAGCAAGTAGTAATTCTGTTGCACCTAATATACAACAAAAGTTGTAGAATTATTGTTGCACAATCATACTAGTTAGTGTTCTTGAGGTAGGGTTACCTCAGTTACATTTTGGTGACACATTTTAGAAACGTTACATTACAGGGTACATTGCACACAGTGAAGCAAAATCTCTATTTGTTGTTTAAGAGCGGTCTCAAAATGGAGGTACACTTGCGGCCTTAGGACTAAACATGGGTATACAAGAGTTTGTCAGGGTGATTGCAGCCCAAGGGCACAAATCCAGAATCATTAAAGCTCTTGTATCAATCCCTGTCATTGTGCTTAACATGATAAGAGCAGCTCACAGTTCCATGTCAACAGCTGTGCCCATTTAGCACACCCAAATTGTACAGGCGAGATTATAGGGGAGGACATGGAGCAGTGGAACGGTAAGCAGTGGAGCATGATGTTGCCAATTATTGCAGAATCTTTTGTTTAATACTGTTTTAAACAGTACAAGTGTTAACTACATTTATATTGTTTTTATTAAAGACGAGCAGGTTGTTTTATTTTAATTGCCAATATGACTAATCAAAGACAGGGTGGAAATGTTGCCTGAGGTTTATGGGGATATAGTAAAAACCTGATAGCTCTGGGGAGAGTGACAAAATGGAAGCAGACGGTGCTGTTACTCGCCTGCAGTTACTGGTATTGTGATGACAGTAAAAATGATCTATACCAACTGTAGATTTTCAGACAGCTTGTGAGTCTTCGCGGACATATGAAATGATGAGTGTGGGACACAGAATGGAGGTGCAAACAGAAGTTTTATTTTCCACCTTTCAAAGAAAATCACATTTGAAATATTATTTGTGCTGTTGCTATTATCTTTGACATGGTCAAGTTAGATTAGTGAAAGGCAAAAGAGTGAACGGTCAACAATATGGCTCAAATGCCAAAAAAATAGTTTTTGATCTTCAAGAGAGACTTTTATGTGTCATGTTGCGGAGTGAATCAATGCGCTGCGCGCAGCTCCATGTTGAGTGGTACATAGTATGTGGCGGTCAGTGTTGATATTGTGGCGTGTTGTGTCACCGCAAATAAATCAATGAAAGGGAAACACTGAAGTGTGGTGCAGATTCTAGAGACTGTCTTTATGTCATCTTAGTTCTGATAGTGAGTTAGTCAAAATCGCCTTAATATTGTCGCATGAAAAACCAATCGCTGATCATCCCTTCAATTGTTGATAGGTAATCCAATCGGAACAAGCCTAGTTGGATTGTTCAGGTTGGATTGTTTTAATTAATCAATGTAGTTCCCATTGCTATAAACATAATACGTACTTACAACTTTAGATCTAACAATATTCAATTACATACCCTTATTTTCTGTAGTTGCTTGCATTTGTAACCATCTTCCATGGTTTTCTATGGTTGAGTCTTATTGACAAACGCTGGATAACAGAGCTGTGTTGTGCTGCAGAATCAGCTATTATACTTTAGTAAGGGTGCAGACAAGATAACAGATGGGAATCAGTTCTTGCCTGCCTACAGCTTTACTGCAGTTATTTAAGCGTATTAAAAGGTTGCAGATTCCTGTTCCAAGAGACAACTGAGTTAGACTGTCACGTGATGGAATTTTTTCAGGGGAATGTGAAATTCAATGTGAAAGCAAAGAGAAGGTACCATGTGATTAATATTCACAGTTATCCTCTCAAACTAAATAATGACAGGCTGAAGTGGTGCATTTTGGATGCCCTATATTAGTTGTCTACCTTTTGTCATCCAGAGCAGAAAAAAAATCGGCTTGGTATGGCTGATTAGGTCCAGTTTAAGTCTCTTTTTCAAGAGGAGGTGAGGTAATCAATACTGACAATGGTTTCTAAATGGGTGGTGTGTGATTCACTTTGTAAAATGATCAAAGACCCCATACCGGGCTTGGCTGTCCCTGTCTGAGAAGTACTTGTTTTACATTTCCTACAGCATTTCACTTAAGTGTCCCTGTTGTTCCATGATGCATAATGCAACTTGTTTTTCTGTCTCTGAATTGGCACACATGCCTTTCTGCACTCAATGAAGACAGAGAACTTACATTTTTCTTTGAGATAGGTTTACTGAAGCCCTGGCCACAACAAGGCAGCAGCAAGATACAGGCAGGTGTTGTAATCCTGTTGAAGAAAACAAGTTTTTGCTTTTTTTTCATCAAAGTGGATTTAATATTTCTGCACTTGGTGAAGACAATACAATAAAAAACATCATCGGAACCTTCATAATTCATTTTTTGCCAAAAGATCACAGGCAGAAATAAGTATTGCTACATTTTTCAATATGAACACGCAGGCACAGAAAAATATTTGTTACATTTAACATGTTTTAATACATCTAAAGCATTGGGGCCTGCCTTAAAGTCTTTCTCTCTCTACACATCATCATCACTTTATAACTTCAGTCCCACCAGGGGCCCAGCAGCAGCTGTAGAGCATACGTTGCCACATGAGAAGCTCTTCCAGAGAAGTGACAATCAGCAGCATCTTGCCATGGGGTGAGAATGTGGCAAAGCATGAAAGGATGCATTAGATGGTATGCAGATCAACAGGAAGCCTAAAGAGGGTTAGACTTTACATTGACACCTAGCTGTAAGCAGCAAAGATGATTGTGGCATGAGAGATGGAGATAGGGAGAGGGGCCAGAGGCCAGAAAATTATGTGAAAAGACGCTGACTCAGAAATATCCATGTCAACATCCTCACCTTTTAAAGTTTAGTAATTTAGATGCCTGTTCTTTTAGCAGTGAAAGTGGATATTTAGCTTTAAACATTTTATTTTGGGTTGATATGTTTATCAGTTGTTTTGTATATCAACAGCCAGCTCATAACAATGTTTGCCAAAACGGATTTAACACATTAAAGTTTGTTGAGAGCAAGTTTGAGCCATTGACAGCTGTTCTCAGAGGTAACTTAGGAGTGAATGTGCGAGAGAAGTGATTATCGATCCCATCGATCTGACATGGCGTAGTTCACGGCTCATGATTGCTGTTGTTTTCTCTCAGATGTTGCTCCTGGTGCTGGTGCTGCAGTGTCTTTCTGTGCCACTAACGGAGTGTAGCAGAACTGTCTTGCCTGTTGGGTTGGATGTCAATGTGTAGATACCAAGAAACGCATAAATTTGAGCTCCGTTGATAACAGAGTGGAGCCAAGTTGTGACAAGATTGGGGCGTTGTGAGAACAAAATAAATCATTGCAGAGAGTTGCAGCTGACAAACATGATGCATTCTTAGTTGGAACTTTTGAAATCATCCACTGAGACACATTTTAACTGTATTTCTGTTATCACTGCATGACTCATCTAAGACATTATAACGTCTCTTCCTCAGATTGTGGCAGACTAGCTCAAGCTTTGCATCCTAGTGTTTTCATACTGCATCAATTTTAGTTAGAATTGGAAAATGATAGATTGTAGGCCATTTGTCATGAGTAATCTGTGATACTTTTATCACGGACTAGTTCAGCTATCTCCAAGTCCCTCCTCTGTCTTTTTAATGCCAGTTGATTTGAATTCCCTGTTCATTTGTCATTTCTGTTGCCATGGCAATAAGGGAGGGGGGAGGTGTCGACAGCATGGACCGAATGGCTGACATTTGATTGACAGTGCAGTGTTCCAGGAGAGAGGCAGGAAAATGATCTGAATATACAACATATGGATTAATCCTTCTCCACGTGTACTCCGTCTTCGGCTTTGGACAGAGGAGGGAAACTGTATTTAAACATTATTTTGAAAGTTTGAGTTAATTAAAGCACATTGTTGAGGATCTATCAATAATGCTGACAGGCTGTTAAGGCCAAGTTCAATTTTATGGGGATATTGGGTAAATTGAATACAGTTCGCCTCACAACTGGCTCAATCAGCAATGAACTCTTAAGCTTATATCCTGACTTTATGGTGAAAAAGCTTCATGTTAAAACACTGAAACTGATGCTAATTTGAAACAGCCCAATAGTAATTGTAAACATTCACTTTATTTAGCAAGAGCAGTTCACCTGTCTTACTTATTCCCCAATCGTTGCCTTTTTTCTTGATATCCTGTGCAGTTTGATGTTTTAACAAGACAGAAAGCAGTTCATTCAATGAACTCTACTGCACTGAGCAGCAACACCTTAAATAAGATGTTAAGGGCATCTCAGTCAGCCATCTAACTTCTCATTCTCTGAAGCCATTGCTCTGTGTCTCATTTCCCAGAGTATTGATATCTTTAAGTGAGCTTCCCACTTGCTTGGAGGGAGTGGATCCTATATAGATTGCTTTCAGGATGTTGGGACTC